TGCTGCCTGGCTTGCTGAGAGATGGCCATAGAGAAAGCGGCTGTGCATCACGGAGGCTGGCAGGGGACAATGTGGTCAGGGACAGTGGCCCCCTGGGGGGAGTGGGGCATCTGGAGAGGCAGGTGCGGGTTGGAAAGGGATGGCACTGTGCCGTGGCAGTGAAGGTCACACAGGGCAAGCGGGGCCCCCACCCCAACAATGCCACCACGCTCCCTCCACAGGGCCACTCTGTGACCGTAGCCAGACTGCGAAATGGAACCAGGGCTGCCTCGGCCAAGTGGAAGGAGCTGCTGCCGCTTTTATTTAAAGCAGTCATGACATAATGAAGTTCAGAGGCAATTCCATCTTCTCCAGCCTTCCGGGAAGGAGACGAAGCCCGCTGCCAAGCACCTGAGCACCGCGCCGTCCTGCAGAACAAGCCCAGGCTGTCACACCAGGCCCCGGAACAGCTCCACTTTCTCCCTGTACAGGTGGAGGAACTGGGTGGCCAGGTAGCGGAAGGGGGCCTCGTAGTTCTCCATCTCCTTCTGCGGACAGTCAGAGGCGCTGCGTTACTTTTCTAACCCATGGAGCCATTACTTTTCTAACCCATGGAGCCGGCACTCCCTCCAACTTCCCTCCCCCAGGGACTCCCCAATGGGCCTGGTTTCATGTGTTTCATCCAAAATAGATGCAAATTGAACCATTTTCCAAATGTCAGTAACGGGAATCCTTTTGTCAAATGACTAATCATAATCTGGCTTACACAGTGCGGACACTGATCTGTGGAATACATTCAGATTCATTCTCAGGGTGGCTTAGAACCGTCCCCAAGAATGCCACAGTGTGCTCCTTGAGAGGTCAGAGGACGCCTTCCAGAAGGCCTCAGCATTCTACCATGCTGCTGGCATGACAAGAAGGAAACAGACAGGGATCGAGGGAACTTGCTGCAGACAGCCACATCCAGTGTAAGCGCCGGAGCCGGGGTTTGACAGAGGTCTGTTTCTACAGAGCCCGTCCTTTCAGCCATGCTGGCTGGATGTGGAAATGAGGGCCACAGGTCAATGCAAAGAGCAGACAGAGCCCTGCCCTGTGCCAGAAGGAAGAGCCCCAGAGGAGAGCGAGGATGAAGGGACAGAGTAACCGGAAGGAGTTTCATGGAGAACGTGGGCCCCATGTCTCTCTGGGGAGGATGCCTCGCTCTGACCTCCAGTCAGGGTTTCAGTCAGCTGGAGGCCCAGGAATCCCGGGCCAGACCCAGGCCTGGGAAGAATCTGGGTGACACTTGCTGGCTGTTCTGATGCCCCAGCCAGCGGGACGCCTACACTGCCCCCAATGCCAAGTGGTGAGGCTGTGGCGCCAGTTCCACCTCCTGAGGACCAGTGGGAAAGCAGTGACAGCTGACTCCCTGCAGTCTTAAAGGGGCTCTGCTGGACCTCCAGGAGGGTCATAGGTCTATAGCACTCACAGGGACCCCAAAACCACCCGTGCTGTTCACTGCTGCCTCTTCCTCTTCTGTGGCCTGCCAGAGATATGACTTCAGTTCAAGCCAAGTCCTCACGATGACCCTCGATGACCTCATGATGTAATTTGTAATTGCAGGGTGGTTTTTCTTTCGCAATACTGGGGACTGAACCTAGGGGCACTCTACCGCTGAGAAATAGCCCTATCCCTTTATTTTTTGAGGAAAGGTCTTGCTAAGTCACCCAGGCTGGCCTCCAGCTTGCAATTTTCCTGCTTCAGCCTCCAGAGTCGCTGGGACTACAGGTGTTTGCCGCTATGCTTGACAAGAATGAGTTATTTTCACGACTAAAGGATCCAAAGAACATTTCTCTTGTGTGACAGGGATTGGGAAAAGCTAAAGAACTTGCCCTAGAGCAGCGATGGCGAACTTTTTAGAGCTTTCAGGGATACAAACAGCTCGCTGCGGCACATGCGTGCCATAGGTTCGCCACCACTGCCCTAAAGTGAGGTTAACGGGTGGGAAATGACAGATCTTCACATGGGCACACAGCAGTGCCCTCGGCTTTCCCATCACTGTTTTCTTGCTCTCTCTGTGTGTCCACGTGTTTTTATTTTCTAAGAAACAAGCTGGCAGAAGAGAGAACCTATTCTGTTGCAGATAGCAGCTGAGACCATGAATGTACAAGCACCTGTTTCAGAAAGCTCTGTGGCAGCTGGCAAAAGCCCAGCCTTGATAAGCAGCGACGTGTTCCCCACGGAATGGGTGAGTCTCAACGTGAAGAACGTCTCCCAGTCATCACGCACAGGGACTGCATTGTCCAGACGAGTGACTGGGGCCTGGGGCGGAGTGGCCCAGCCCGCTCCGGATCCTTGGTTTGAGAAGAAGCCTTTCTACCCTGCAGCCAGTGGTGCACAGGGGGTATCGGGCCGTGGAGAAAGCCACCTGGACTTTGCAGAAAGGACAGCCCAAGCGAGGAAACAGGCGGCAGTGCTAGGGGTGCTGGGTGCCGGGGGCAGCCTGTAGCCAAGATGAGCACCTGTGCTGAGCTCACAACTGCCACGGCCCCGAAAGCTGTCCCCTCCGGATGGACGCGACAGACGGTGTGACGCCTCTGGGTGTGCGGAGCGCCTCCCGCCAGGCAGCGTCAGCGTCAACCCCTAAGACAACCCATCCTTTCCTGGCAGTTAAGTCCTGAACGCAAAGAGAATGTGGCCTCCATAGCCGCCACGGGGCGCTCCTGAAGTAATGGGAAACGTCAGTGACGGGAATCCTGTCAAATGACGAATCATCACCCAGCTTACACGGTGTGGACACTGACAGAGTAGGCCTGCGGAGCAGACTGGGACTCGTTCTCAGCCTCCGTCCCCAGGAATGCCACAGTGTGCCCCATGAGAGGTCAGAGTGAGGACCCCTTCCGGAAGGCTGAGCATCCAGCTGGATGCACCTGCACCCTGGGCCTGGTCCTGGGTCTACTCCTCCTTAGCTGCGCAACTGAGGAAATCTACACAGGCTTTCTGATCCGTTTCTCAAGTACGCAACAGGGGTAGGAGAAGCGGGCTCGCTGGTCTGCTATGAAGCAAAAGTGGGTAATGTACAAGATGCCAAAGACACAGTAGGCCGTCAGCATGTCATTCCCTCCTCCTGGCTACTGCAAGGGCAAGCTTGGGCAGCCACTCTGACAGACCATGCTGAACTTGTTTACATTTCCTATCGTCTTTTTTGGTACCAGGATCGGAGTCGGGACCTTGCACTTGTGAGGCAGGCGGCGGAACCACTGAGCGAAATCCCTGGCTCCATTTACTATATTCTGCCAGCGAGGAGCAAGGGGCTTTTTGTTGTCATTGCCGATTTATTATAATTGTTAACGTCTGGTTATAGAAACCCTTTTATTTTTTTTTTACTTTTTGGCCTGAAAATTGCAAACTTCAAAGGGCAGTAGAAAGTCAAAGAGCCCTGTTGCAGGTCGTGCTTCTGGGTCAGCCAGGGGATTGCTGCTGCGCTTAGGAAGAGAAGACGGGCTTGGCGTCAAGACTTGGCCGCCTCTCAAACAGCATTTGGTTATATTTCCTTTTTAATTACAGCTTTCTTACCCGAGCTGCCAGTGGAGCTTCTGTGAGCACCAACTCAGGGGGGACTAGTTAACTCGCACAGTTAATACCGAGTGCTTCACCGCCGCCTCTTCAAGCGAGATTTACACCCGCCCTCTGTTAACACCTGAATGGAGCCGCCAGTCGCGGCCCGTGGCCCTTGGTGGCTGATGTGTGGGGACGGGTTTTAAGTTTTTAGTTCTGGGAAATATGGGACAGGGTCACAAATGTGAATGGAGGAAGAGGGCGCAGGGCGGTCCTGCGTGCCGTGGGTGACACAGCCCGTGGCTCTGCTCGAAGGCTACTCCGTGGAGGCGAGGAGCCCCCGCGTGGCATGGCACAGGCTCGTCTCGTCCGGACTTCATTAATTTAACGCTCGTGATAATTGGACCAGAGGCAAGGGTGACATTCATCTGTGTATAAGCTATGGATTCACGGATTTAGTAAGTAATAACAGTAAACCAAGATGCTGGGGGAACATTTATACTCTAAAAGCTAACATTTGCGGAGTGTTTACTCTGTGCTACTCTGTGCTAAGTGTCGCATGCTGCCATCAAACTTAATTCTCACACTTAATACTCAAGGAGGGACATATTTTATATCCCCATTTACAGGGGAGGAGCCTGAAGCTCTGGTGGTTTAAATGACAAGCCAGGGTGGACAGCTAGCCTGGCTCCTTGCCGGCGGGGTCGGAATGCCTGTGGCCTTCTGTGGGAAGCAGGCCAGGCTGGGGACTTGGGAAGCTCAAGTCCATACAGTGATTGGACAGCAGTAGCTTCAACCTGAGGCAGGAGCGGTCTGAGTAGAAGAGATGACAGCCCAGGGTGTGCAGCTGCCCACTGGCTTCTGGACAGCCAAAGAATCAGGTCTCCGTTACAGCCATGGCCCGGCTGGAGCCTTGGGAAACTGTGGCAAGGGTCGCTGTGGGGTCCGAGACGGCTGTCTCCCTGCCCTTGCACAAGGGGTGTGTATGGTCACAAGCCCTTGAGCGGTCATTTTACCTCAACCCTGAGCCAGGAATGGGTTGGGGGCAACCCCTGGTTTTCAGGACTGACTGTGAGGGCCCAGTGAAGTAATGCACCAAGGACACAGCCACCCACACCTCCCAAGCAAAGTTGGGGAAACTGAACAAAGTCCACTGGTGCATCTCACTCGTGCAGACCCAGCTTCACCCAGAGTAGCCCAGTGGCTCTGCTTTACTAAAAGGACCAGTGACTCTTGTGATACTGCAAAAAGATCTCAGGTTGTGGACGTGAACATCACCTCCCAATAGGACACCGCATAGATGGCCTTGGCCCTGGACCCCTCCTGGTAGACGCTACCCAGACTTGGTGGCCCATGGACGTACTCACCACGGATGTCTCAAAGCACTCGAGGCCTTGGTCCAGTGCCCACGACCGGGCCTGTGCCGGATCCACTGCTCGTCGGCTGGCCAGGTCTGTCTTATTTCCTACTAAAACACCTACTCCAAAGAAAACAACCAGAACATTACATTTAGCTGTGGCAAGCTGGGAGATCAGCCAGGGAGGCAGCATGCTGTTTCTCTTTGTTTGACTTTTGAGACAGGGTCTCTCTATGTAGCCCAGCCTGGCCTTGAACTCATGGTGACCCTCCTGTCTCAGCCTCCTGAGTGCTAGGATTACAGGCGTGCGTCACCACACCTGGCTTAGCACACTGTTTCTGAGGGGCACAGAACATGGTCTGAGAAGCTGCCTGATGAGGGGGTGGGCACCAAGAGGGAAGGCCAGGGGTCTCGTGCTGGACCCCAGGGCCCCAAGAGAACTGATGGTCTCTGCCTTGTACACACAGCTTGTGCCTGGCCTTTTTTTGCTTCTTGTATATCTCTGTACCCCTCACTTCCTTAAGATTATAAGTGTCATGCAGGTGAGGGCCCACTTCTGTGTGCAGCTCTGATAGTTCCTAGCACATGGGGCAAACTTTAAAAATGGTCATTAACACTAATCTCAGGCCTGGGCTCAGAGTCAGGGATTCAGAGGTAATTTAGTTCTGCTCCCAGCTGCACTGGCTATAGCTAATTTCTGAGCTGGTCTCTGGAGATCACTTTCCCCGGTCTGTAATGAGGAGAATTTGTTGATCTCACGGAGGGATGAGAAATAAACTGATTTAAAGTATTCAGAAATGACAACAGGACTTGAATGCAACTCGTGCCCCATATACAGGAGCACACGAGGGAGCCTTCCCTGGGGTGAGCTTTGTGAAAATATCAATTCCTATTACAGCACCTCCCCCACTGCCTTGAGTCTGCCAGGTGGGTGACAGCCACATCACTGTACCCAGAGACTGAGAGGCAGAGCCAGGGCACAGTCCTGGCCGTCGGAGTCGGAGCCTCAGGGCCTTGCTTTGAGCCCTCGGTGACCTCTCTGCAAGGGACCCGGGCAGGTGTGTGTGTGTGTGTGTGTGTGTGTGTGTGTGTGTGAAGGACAGAGGCACTGCTGGAAACACACGTTGGCAGCTCCTACCTGGGAGGGAGGCGCCTGGAATCTGAGCCCGAGCCTTCTCCAGCCACTTGCCGCAGTTGCTGAAGGACTGCTCACTGGTCACGTCATAGACGAGACAGAGGACGTTGGGGCTCTCCCACTGCTCGGGGGACGGGAGAGGCACATGGCAGAAATGTGAAAAGGGACTCCTGGGCTGGGGGACCATCTGGCTCTCAGCTAAGGGATGTGGTGGTGGAAGGATGCGAAAAACTATCAAGGGGATGTGAGTCAGGAGACAGCCACCATCAGAGGTACAGAGGTTTGTCCACAGGCATGAACAGAGGTGTGCTCCGTGTGGGGGCGGGGGCGGGAGACATTAAGGGATGTGGTGGTGGAAGGATGCGAAAAACTATCAAGGGGATGTGAGTCAGGAGACAGCCACCATCAGAGGTACAGAGGTTTGTCCACAGGCATGAACAGAGGTGTGCTCCGTGTGGGGGCGGGGGAGCGGGAGACAGGTGGGCGGGGAGAGGGAGGGGAGCAGAAGGGGAGGGGTGCAGAGCTCACACGTGGGCCAGGCTCTCTGCTGGAGCGTTCTGTGCACCGCTGTGAAACTTCCCAACTTTGTTTTTCTTTATTTTTTGTTACTGGGGAATGAACTCGGGTCCTTGTACTTGCGAGACAGGCAGTGGAACCGCTGAGCTAAATCCCCGGCCCGAAACTCCCCAACTTTGTGGGGTCAGTATAGTCCTACTTTGTACTGGAGAAAGCAAGTCTGGGGAGGCCACCTGGCCTGCCCAGGTCTACAAGCTCAGGGCCAGTGGAACCAGGGTGGGCCTGAGGCTTTTCTCTACCTAGGGCTCCACTCTTGCCGGCCCTCGGCTTTGCTAATTAATTCTTCCCTCAGAGTTGCTGTCCAGGGCCGTCGCCCTGTGAGTGCCTCTTCCCTTCCATGGACAGTGCCTGGGAGTGTCTGCAGGGATCTTCCTGTCGGGCTGGCTTTGCTGCTCCTGCGCTGTCGCCATCAGCCCTAATGAACCACACCAACTGGACAGGGCTCACTCTCAAAGGCTGTGGGGGCTGCTCAGAGAGTCCCAGGACGTTCTGCCCTGGGGATGTGGGGTGGCCCTGGCTTATGTCTGGGGTGGGTACAGGGGAGAATCCTTTCTCCTCCAGTTGTCCTTGGAAGGCCATCCCGGGATGGGCTCTGGAGGGCCCTCTCCCCACCCCTGGGCTATGCTGGTTCCTGGAGGCACCCAAGGTGCAGGAGCTGAACCATCGGCCCCCACGCCTTCCTCCCGGCTGACTCATGCGCTCTCCCCAGAAACACACTCACCTCCCCTGCAGGCATCGGGACTTACCCTGGTGTGGCCTGAATTTATTTTCTTTTGTCCAGGCCTTCCTGGGGGTGTGGGGCTTGAACCCCAGGGATCAAGCTGAGGCTGGGGTGGGCAAGGCTGAGTCAGGCCGGCTGGTGGGAGGAACAGGCTTGATGGGAAGCATGTGGCCCTGCCTTGCCCACGCAACCTTTCCTTCTGCCAAGCATGGCAGTGCCCAGAGCCAGGCCATGCATCCATGGGTGCTTGCTAACACCATGAGTCGCTTCATGAAGCCAGCCCTGGGTGAAACTACCATCCTGAGCTTGACTTCTCTTAGAAAACAGAACAGGGGCAGAGAACAGTTTCCACTAAAGCGTGGCTGTTTCTGGAAAGGCAGGGGAGGGCTCTGAGGAGCTCTGGTGTTCAGATGAGCTCCCGATCCAGGTTCTGGAGACTGTCACCATGCGGTACAGCGTGCTGGGTTCTGGGGACAGCTGGGTGGCCATGGACACAGGCGTGGGGAGCCCGGGCAATAGAATGGGTGCATCCCTGGGGTCGGGGTTGGGGTGGAAGGTAAGCCTCATCTCGGGGTCCCTGGCCCACGTCCTGGGAGGCTGAGAGCGGCTGTCGAGAGCACTGGAGGGGGAGCTGTGAAGGACGGACGCAGCCACACAGCGCCTCGCACGTTTGGGAGCCAGCCGTGCAGGAGCAGGGGTGGCGGCCGTCAAGGGCACTGGGCCACTGCTGTCTGCCGGTGCCCACAGTCCCCGGCTGTGAGGATGCCCCTTAGAGAATACGGCCATGGCACGGCAGCTGCCCTTGCTGGCCATGGTGCAGAAGCGTTTCTACAGGAGCACTGTAGGTGCTGGCAGTGTGGCAGGATGTGGGTGGAGGTGGTTAGGAAAAAGAGCAAATGTACTTGCCAACTTATCCAGCATTTCAGAAAACAGCTCCTTGCCGGCTGAGTCAAAAATGAAGAGCTCCTGCAATCAGAAAAGCACGTCCCGGATAAGTGTACACAAAGGGAGGCCTCTGGCCACGAGTCACCACTGGCGCTCTCGGCTCACCGTGAACTTGGCTAGGCGGCGACACTCCTGCACCCATACGTGCACACACACTTCTTACACACGCTGTCTTTCCCCAGGCACAAGAAGGAAGTCCAGAGTCCCTGAGGCAGCACCAGGCTCCACCCCAGCCACCACGCCGTGCAGTCTCACCTCTCCCAACCCCGAGTGCAAAAATCCCAGGAACAGGCTGACTTCCCACCTGGCGGAACAGAATGCTAAACAGGCTGACGAGTGTTCTGGTTTCCAAAAGGTCATTCTGCACTTTGTTAACCAAATTGATTTTCAAATCTTAAAACAGTTCTTTTTAAAGGAGGTCACCCAGTAGGCCCGGGAAGGCGTCGAAAGCAGGACAGTCTGACAGCGTGTGGGGACAGCCCAGAAACGCTTTGGATGAGGGCACCAGATGCCCCTTCCATCCTGTCCTGGCCCACCAGCCCACTGCTGCTGCCCACGGAAGCCTCTCTGCAAGTCCCCCCTGCACCTCCCAGCAGGACAATGTCTGGCTGGCTTCTGAGCCGGGCACCCACTGTCCCAACAGCATCTGTCCTCGATGCTGGCCACCTGTGTCCTGGCCTTGGCCTTTCTCACTGTGTCAGGGTGCTAACAATTTCTTTCCTTCTTCCCTTCGCCTCCAATTTCCCTCTCTTTTTGTTCATGGGCCTCTTTAAGCATCTGGTAAAAGCTACAAACACTCTTGCTAAGGAGGGACACACAGACAACATCGTGTATTCCACTTCATAAACTCTGGGTTTTCCGCGGAGGGACCTGGGTTAAGACCCTGGTAGTAGACAAGTTCCTCAGCAAGGCCCACACCCCAGGCCCCTCCTGCCCAGTCAGTCCCTTCCTTCAGTATTTTCTGGGCTTCCCAACTCCCATGACCAGAGAAGTCTAGGCCTCGATTCCCCACCATCTGTGTCCCTCCTAGGAAAGCGGCCCTGGTCCCACCTGGGTTGGGGATGCCACTCACCACACTGTCGGCTGTGTCAGGGACTGGCACCGTCTTCACCACCAAATCCACCCCAGCTGTCTGCCGAGGAACAGAGGAACATCAGAGGGCATCAGAGGCCCCAGTGTGGGGTGATGTGGGAGGACGTGATGAGACCCCAACTCCCTGGAGGGCCATCTCAGCCTGCAGAAGCCAGAGGCCTCCTCGTCACCCCACTTTCCTCCCCTGGAGGAGCTGCGGCTTGTGGTGATCATAGGGACTGGTGGGGCGCTGTGGTCACCGCTCACTGTGGAGGCGGAAAACTGACCTCTACGTGGCCATGCACACACCCTCTCGGCTGGCCCAGGCCCCCAGCTCACCAGCGTGTAGTTCTTCTGGAAGTGGGCCCCGTCGCTGCGGAAGATCTGTGCCAGTGCGGTCTTGCCCACGGCCGGGTCTCCTGGGGTCAGAACAGAAGAGAGACACCACTTTAGTGGTCCTCACCAGACCCTCTTGCTCTACAAACTGAAAACTTCCATGAGTTTCCCAGGCAAGCACCACTGGCTGTCACGGGCACCACAGAGCTCACAGGCAGGGCAGCAGGGGGGCCCATGCGACCCCGTCAAAACTCGCGATGCAGAACACATTCCCAGCTGGCTAAGGAAAGAACGACCCAGAAAGTGAGGGAGGCTGAGGAGGGACCTGGCGGGAGCCTTGGGAGCAGAAGCGGCACTTCCGGTGAGACACACCCACAGGAAAACCCTGTCATTTTCAAGCCCGGCTGTACCCGAAGCCTTGGCAGGAAAGATGAGCGGCGGGCGGGGTGATTCAGGTGAGGGCCCCCCACCCACTGCTGAGCTGACTCGAGTGGAGAGCCGCCCCTGGTGGTCCGTGTTTATGGGACACAGAAGTCAGGAAACCCACTTCCCAGGGACGTCTGTCACACCACTTGGGACGCCAGTTTGTGACACGCTGGGCTTCGCTTTCCAAGTCTCTCTGGAAACTGTGACTGCAGCAAGTCCAGCCCGCCTCCCCCAGCTGTCCTTGGTAGTCAGCAACCCCAGAAACTGGCACCTGAGAACTCCAGGTCTGAGGTCTCCCACCCGGGTCCCTCTCATGCTGGTGAGAAGCGCTCTGTGCCCACCTGCAATCCCCTCCGCTCTCCCCACTTTGCCGCCCATGGCCCTGCCCGATGTCCTTTGATGTGCGGCACCTTTCCCACCTCTCTTACACGCCGGCCCCTGACTGAGCGTCGCCTCCTGCTTCCGGCCTCCCCATCCTCAGGGGCATCACCTGCACCCTGTGCACTGCCGGCTCGTGTCACCGCGAATGGTCTCCGCACCTTCGCTCCCCGTTTTACAGCCGCTGCCACACTTTCCTCTGCTTGACTTCTCGACAGTCTGCCACTCTGTTCATTTTCCTGTAATTTTCTCTCGTGAGACAATTATGTGACGACGAGCGGCATGTCACCGATGCGAACGCCTCCAGGTTGGAACGCGCTATTCAGGACTTGCTTTGCTACCTGCCACCTCTTCTTAGGAGGGTCCTGACATGCGCTGCAGCCCCTGTGAGCCCAGCCGCACTCTCATTCATTGCTCCCCACGCTACGCCCCCTCCTTCCCTGCTGAGGGGAGTGGCAGTGAACCTCAGCTGCAGATGAAGGGATAGAGGCTCTGAGAAGCTGGTACCGGGCCTAGGACTCCAATATCCCACTCTCTGCACCAGGTCTGGGGCTCAGGGACACGCCTGGTGCATTTAAGGGCTTCACTGCTGTGACCCCCCGGGACATTCTGGGCACCACAGCCTGCACCACCTGTCCTGGAGCACATGGCTTCCCTCCTCCCGACTCCAACTCTGCTCCTGAACCCAGTTGGAAACTGGCTCTTCCTGCTTGTGAAATTCCCCACAGATTGGTTCTGGCTAATTTCATAAATCTTCCTCCCGCCTGTCAGTCAGTCACCAACACTTACAGCAAACTTCCTGTGTGGGCTCCTGGGAGGTGACAGAACTGATAAACACGTTTTCAGAGAAACAAGATGACAAGTGCAAATTCAAACAGCACAAGCTGAGAACCTCAGTCAGCATCGGAGAGAGCATCAAGGACGGGAGAGGCAGCCAGGTCACGGCTTTCTGCCCTGGGGACACAGGACTGAGAGGCTCCCTGTGACTTCGTAACTGCCACAGCCAGTGGTCTCTTCTCATGCCTCACCCCCACGCCTCTGAGCCAGTCCCCTCCTTCTGAGCCATCCTGGTGGCCTCTGCACCCCCATGTGTGGCCACTTCCGGGGGCTGTGCTCAGCGCTCTGCTCAGCGCTCTGCTCCTGGCTACTCTGCCTCGGTTGCCTTCATTCCTCCTCCCTGCTCCCACAGGACGACGGGCCTTCATCCACCTGTAGCCACAGCCACGTCATGCCACGCCTGTCCCTGAGTGCACAGCTGTCCCCAGAGGTCTCGCCCACCTAGTTCACTCTTCTGCTCACACGGCCTCCACCACGTGTCTTCATTGTCCCCACGTGCAACCATCGCTTCCTCCCTACCCAGCCGGCCTCCCCTTAATCCCCTGAGGCCTTTGCTATGTCTCCTGCCCACAGCACATCCTGCCGCTGCCCTGAGCTCACGCCTTACGTTGACTCGCCCCCCATGCTCTGCGAACACCCCACCATGGCCGATGTGACGGTTAATCACGACTGTAACCTGACTGCCCAGAGAGACGACGCCCCGGGAGGCTGGTAAAGCACACGCCTGGGGGGGGGGTCGGGACGGGTCGCGGGGGCGTGGCCTTGGGAACCGTATTTGCTCCCGGCCCCTCCCCTGGCCCTCAGGGCGGCTTCCTGGCTTTCTTCTGCCCTGCCCTTCAGCCACGAAGTTTCTGAACCAGACCTGGGCAACCGCAGACTGAAACCTCTGGAACTGGGAGTCAAACTAAGCCCGCTTCCTTCAAGTTGCACACGTTAGAAATTTTATCACAGCAACAAAAAGCACACATGCACACACATACAGGCACCACAGGGTGGGATCTGCGCTCAGCTCCCTGATCCTCCTTCAAGCTGAACCTCTATGCTCTGATGATCACGCCCGCCTCTCTCTGTCCCTAGTCCCAGAGGACATGCTTCTTCCTGCAGTCACTCCTGTGCTGCCTCAGTGCCCCTGTTTCCCTTCTTGAGCCCTTCGATATCTAAGGTCCACTGTGTACAGTGAAGCCCTTACCTCATGTAGTTCCGGTTTTTCACCTGGACCCTGATCATGCAGTAGTGGGGCCAAGAGAGAGTGTTAGGGAATTGATCATGCTAAAGTATGCTGTGACGCCGCCTCACAGGCTGCATTCTCCTGGTAACCTTGGCTCCTAAAATGACCTCATGCCCTTATCTCTGGTTTCCCTCCCCACCAAGGCCACAGTGGTCCAGGAAAGTTGAAACCTGTGTCTGCAGGACTGGGCCCATAAAAGCAATCTGGCCTGTGATAGGTTAAAAGTAGCTCACTCCTCATAAATAAGCAATAGCCCACCCCAAACTGATAAAAGGACCTTCCTTTCTTTGTTCTTCTCTCTTCTTCTGCTTCTTCCTCCTTTTCTCTCTCTCTCTCCCTCTCTCTCTCTCTGCCTTCCTGCCTCCTGCTCGCCTCCCTACAATAAAGATCTCCTGCCGGACCTCTCGGTGCGTGAGTGACATAATTGGGTAAAATTGGGTAAGGGGCACCCAAAGGGGGCACGCGCGACCCCTTTCAGAGAGATCATTTTATAGATCCTCCAAATGCTCCGAGTGACCCGTGGAACATGGCGGGCTCATGGCCCACGACGGAACTCCTGGGGTGCGACACCCAGCAGGCAGTGCCCCTCTGTGGGTCCCCTAGGGTTATAATAGCCCCGGCTGTCTACCACTGCCTCTCGGCACTTTCTCTGGCCTTTTCTGCCCCCCCACAGACCTGAGAAGCTGTGACATCTTTAAAATGGCTCTGTTGTGGGCCAGGGACCTAGCTCAGTGATTCTGCTGCCTGCCTCACAAGCGCAAGGACCCCAGTTCGATCCCTGGCACCAAACAAAAGAACAACAACAACAAAATGGCCCCGTTGTGATGCTGAAAATACTCGACCAGGCCTTGACTGAAAATGCTGCCCCAGAGGCCCTCTCACCTTCGGTCGTCGCAGCACAGGGGCAGGTGGACTTTCACAGGGTGGCGCTTTCATCCCTGACACCGTCAGCCACCTCTCTCCACAGCCAGTGCTGACCCAGCTTCCACTCTCTCCCCCTGTCCCATGTACAAAATCTGGGCTCTGCACCCTGTTCGTCAGTCCCTGAACACCCCACACCCTCACAGCTACCTCCTTCCAACCCAAGTCCAAATCTTGCTCACTCTGTCTGGGAAAAGCTCAGTTACTTCCTTCCTAGCAGCCTCGGAAGGGAGCGCTACCTCCTCAGTCCTGTCTGGGAGGCTCTGCTGATCCCTGCTGGTGTTGGGAGACCTGACACTGGCACTGGGACCCATGGAGGCATGACTGTTACCCCCACGTGCTGAGAGAGGCACCACAGCAGTTAAAGGCACAGGCCCAGGAGCCAGGCTCTAGCTTGTCCACTTCCCAGCTGTGTGGCGTTAGGTCAGTTACTTCATCTCACTGTGCCTCAGCTGCTACATCTGCAAAACGGGTTACTAACAGCACCTGCCCCACAGAATCGTTACGGGATTTAACGAGTTAATATGCACAGTGCTCAGCATGCACTAAGGACTATTTGTTTTTAAGACAAATCAACCACAGATACACATCAGATATGGCTTTCTCTTTTCAGCAGAACATGCAGCAGCTGGGCCTTGACAGGTCTCCAAATCGGGCTTCAGTTCCCAGTCGCGGCAGTGGTGCTATAACCCATCATGCACAGCTTAGTTCTTCCCGGGGTGTGGGGCTGCGCTGCTCCGTTGCTGCAGGGCGACTCGCAGCGGGTAGAAGACGCTCAGTAAATATCCGTGCAGGGACTATCACTTGAGCATCAGGGCCCTGATAAGCCGTTATGGGAGAGAAGTCTGGGTCTACAGGGGTAAATGGAAACAACTCCTGAGGGGTGTGGGGGGGTGGCAGAGAACTTGGAGGTGGTGCTACCTGGTGGTGGGCCACCTCAGGCTGAGGGGTTCCAGCCCAGGAAACCTCCATTTCCTGGAGGAGATGCCCTGGGGGCCTTGACAGGAAGCTGCAGGCTGAGTGCAGAGTTGGAGTTCAAGAGCCACCAACACAGGCCAAGGCTGGAATCAGGTGAAACATGTGCCGGAGAAAGCGGGGGTAAAGAAGGGCCAAAAGGACCGAGGTTTGAGGACAGTCCAGCCTGTGCTAAGAACAAAGCCCTGGAAGTCGTATCAACTGGGTCTGGGTCAGGTTCTGGATCACACAGCACTGCTACTGCTGGCTGTTTGGCCAAGGGCAAGTGTCCTCACCCCTCTGGGCCTCATTAGTCTCATCTGTAAACCTGTGAATCTGTACGGGCGACAGCAATACCAACGATCCCCATACTGGATGGTGAGCACTCGTGGGAGCAGTGCCGAGGGTCTGGCATAGGGCAGGCACACAGAAGGTACTCAGGAAGCTGAATTCAAAAAGAACTAGAAGGAAGAACAGCCAGAGACAGAAGCCCATTTTAAAAAGAAATCTAGCTTTAGAAAACGAAAATATTCCCACCTCATCCATGAGGGAATAGAAGCTCAAAGAAATGCTCTGTCCAAGATAACAGCCAGTAAGAGAAACAGCCAGAATTGTTTCTGTTACACAACACTGCCTCCCCTGGCGCTCTGGAAACCAGAGTCTCCTGAGAGCCATTCATTTCTTTTGCTCCAGCATGATCTAAGTCACTAGTGTCAGGCATCATTCTATGTGACCCTTTCATTTTCAAATTAAGAAAAGTCATTCAAAACACTATCAGCAAGCCAGGTGTGGTGGTGTGAGCGTATAATCTCTGGGAGGCTGAGGCAGGAGGATTACAAATTTAAGCCTAGCATGGACAACTTAGGGAGATTCTGTCCCAAAATTTAAAAGGGATGTAGCTCAGTGCAAAGGCCCTGAGTTCAGTTCCCAGTACTGGAAAAACAAAACAAAACAAAACAAAAAACCAACAACAACAACAACAACAACAACAACAACAACAACAACAACAACAACAACAACAACAACAACAACAACAACAACAACAAGCAAACAGAAAAACCAACCACAATTATTTTCAGTCTGGAAGAGAGAAAGAAAAAGGAATTTTTTTTCCTGCATATAATTTCTCCTCAGTTCCTTCCTGAGTTGGTCAGGGAAGCTTGGAAAGTTCACAGGTTTCAACAGTAACACCAGATAAGGCTTTTGGAGTTGGACCAACCTGGGCCTGTAAATCCTGTGCACGACCGTCACTGGGGTGGACCCTGGGCACCGCCTCAGGAAGATCAGGACAAGGGAGAACCAACCCCGTGTGCTATGTGAGAGGACTCAGTGAAACACACGTGTGCACTCTACAGTCACAAGTCTGATCCCAGTGGATACTGATACACAGAAAACACTCCAGATGTGAATGCCACACCTTCGTTCATTCTGCTAAGTATTTAGAGTACCTACTATGTCCAGGCATTGCAGTGGGTGCTTGGGATGCAAAACCAAGACTGCTGACTTTGGGGAGACTGCAGTGCGAAGTAACATTGGACACTGAAGATGGCAAACAGGGCGCCTCTGCAAACTGTGTCACCTGACCACTAGTCTGTTCTGTCCCTTTTATCGGAAGAAGTTGGGCCAGGAAAAGAATTCCATGAGTAAAGACCATCAAAGTCACCGACGCCTAATTTGGGGGCACAGCAATTGGGGTTCGCTTAGTCTGATTTTTAAACAAGTCTGCTCCTCATCAATACAACCGAACAGCGGCGGCGTGGGGTGGGGATGAGGGATGTCAGCCAGTGTTACAAATGTGCTCTGGAAGATAACTGCTTCCCCCAGTGGAATTTAAACTACATCGGTAATTGCAGCAACTCGCCTTTGGGAGAAAAACAGGGAAAGAAGGTAGAGAGTTTACTTGAACAAAAGCTCCTCATAAATTATGAAGGCTCTGGACTCTGGAGACCGCTGTATTCAAGCACAAATTTTCAGACTCACCTGCCAGGATGCATTTGGCGGCCAGCTTCACCATGGTAACCAACCACTACACCGACCACCGGGGAGGGAAGCGATTGCTTAGAGGGGCTGGTGGGTGAGTTTCGCGGCTCTGTCCGGCCTGGGCCAGTGAAGTGGGGAATGGTGATCCCCAGGGCCTGCGGCTGTGGTGGGGATGCGACTCCAGCCCGGGCCTGGGTGTCTGGCTCTAGGGAAGGCGGCGAGAGGGAGGGATCCAGAGGGGACAAGATCGAGGCCCTAGAAGCAGCCTGGAAATGTACAAGCGGCGACGTAGCTCCCGTTCTCTGTTCCGGCCCAGGCCCTCAGCCCAAACCCTCTAAACAGACCCACTGCTTTAGCGTCCCGAGTACCCAGCTAAATATGCTAGCCTGGCAACCATCGGCCACTGCCCCGCCTTTCCTTATCCTTGCTGGCCCTCGATTGGCTGCTGCCAATATCTCCCACCACCGAAGACTCTCAGAGACCCAGTAGAAGAAGGGGGCGGGACAAACAGTCTTTCTTTTTCAAGATAATTCGTTGTGGTGTCTGCTCTTCAACTTTATACCTCTCGATAAATGGCTCCAGATATCGTCAGTCCCTGCCGTCTCCCGCCCCAGATCCTCCGGAGCATTTCGGGAAAAGAAGTTCTAGCCTTGTGCAGCCAGAGGGAGCGACGAGGAAAGTTTTCTGATTGGCCAGAGGCTGGTTTGGACCATCTTGGGGAAGAATGGGGATTCGCTGCACTCCCTTGCTCTCCCGAAAGTGGACTCGCCCAAGAGAAGGCTGCGGCGGGAGGCTTGCGGAGCGGCGCCTGCGCAGTAGACGAAACTGCAGGTGCTGAAAGCTTGGTCCTGGGGCGTGTTGTTTCCTTGCTTCCCAGGTTCCAAGAAGCAAAGCTGTCGGGGCATCAGCAAATCCAGACCTCACCCCGCATCCCCAAGACAAATCTTATTTTTAAAGCCCAAGCATGTTATGCTCTTTGAAATCTGAAGTGGAATGAGGGAAGGATGGGGAGAGGTTCAGTTCCGAGTGCGAACGTAGGGTTGGGAGTGAGTTCTGTGCGCATTGCACAGGGCGGTGACCGGATAATGACAATGTAGTGCGTGTTTCAAAAGCCAGGAAGAAAGGGTTTGTGTTTTCACCACAGCAGTGAGCGTTAGGGGACGTAATGAGTATTTAAAGGGACATCCGTCAACAGAAGGGACAAGTAAACCGACGTGGAGGGCCACTGCGCTTGGAGACCGAAAGCCGCCCTTGTGAAGTGGAGACTGCAGCCCGCATCACACACGATGAAAGCAAGGGGTCAAGGATGTTGCCAGCCTTGTACAGGTGGCACAACAAGGCACACACACACACACACACACACACACACACACTCTAGAAATGGCTGTAAAGTTTTTAACGTTAAATGGGGAGTTACACAATGCAAGCTGGACCATTCCTTCTGGGAGCTTCACTCCTGGTATCAGTAACAAAGGTAAAGAGCCATCTCCCCGGCATTGCTCCCAGGTCCTTTTCTCTGAAACATCATGCTGGTCATCTCAGCACCCAGGCCTGGTGAGCAGAAAGTCACTGCCTGTTCTCTTTTTCCCTCTGGCCAACCCTTCCCTTCAGCAGGGCTACCTGTTTGCTGTATGACTCCCTGACTTCTGAGCGTGCCCCTTGGGTGAGCCACACCAGGGGAGGTCCTTGGAGCTGCCCCAGGGCATATCTAGGGCAACATTGTCCCTCTTCTTTATGGGGCTGGGGGTAAAAACTACGCCTCCTTCACAGGTCTGCTCTCTTCCTGTGTTGCTGCTCTGTTCGACTTTAGTCAGTGCCATCATTAGGGCGTTTTGGGTCTCTCCAGGGAGATGAGAAATACCCATATGGTGGGTTCTGCCCCTTCCTCACTGTCATGGTCCCCAGGGCCTCTATACATTATAGTGTTGTTTTTGGCACTGTACTGAGGATTTTTGAACTCCCTTGCAAGCGCTCTACCACTGGGCTACATTTTCCCATACATTCTTGATCACAGCTGCAGCTCCATGCCTGAGAGTCTTGTGGCTTAAGGTGGCGGAGAGTTCTGGAGCCAGAAAGGTTCCTGAGCACTTCCTGTCCACCGCTTCTGATAGCTGCAGCATGTACACATTGCATGCCGGCCTTCTAAGGATGGCTGAGGATTAATTCACCCATGAGCCATGTGCGTATTTGATAGAGTAACCCCCATGAGGATTGGTTCATCCCACAGGACAGGTGGGGAAACTGAGGCCCGCGTGAAGCTAAGTCAAATTCCTGAGGAGGTGGTGGTGGAGCTAGGACTTGAACACAGAGAGTCTTTCAACCCGCAGCCCCCCAGGGACCCATGGGGCCTCTGACACCTCTCACACTTCCTCCCATAAGGGAGAGCAAATGTTTACTGAGTTCCTTGCAGTACTGACTTTCACTGATTGAGCACTGCATGCCAGGAACGTGGGAAGGTCTTCACAGCCTCTCTGGCTTGATGGCAGGACTTTAACTGAGCAGACAAGGACACACACTTCCACCCGAACCGGGACCAACCCTGGATCTCCTCACTGTTGGGACCAATGTATTTTCCCCTCTGATTTCAATAATAAGTTTTTCTAAGGGTCAGGTTCTGGGCTGGTTGTTGAAGTCACCGAAGCAAGATGACAAGGTCCAGACCTTACTCTGGCCTGTCTGGACCACATGGGACTGATGTGGGCCTGGGGTGCGGGTCTCTGACTTTTAATTTCTTTTCAGTACTGGGGATTGAACCTAGGTCCTTCACACTGAATAGACACCTGGCCCTATTTGTTTATTTATATTTTGAGACAGTCACACTAAGACACTAAGTTGCCCAGGCTGTGCTCAAACTTTCAATCCCCCTGCTTCAGCCTCTCAGAGAACTGGGATCACAGGTGTGCACCACCACACCTGGATGGTCCCTCACTTTTTTTCGTGGAATCAGGAAGCTGGGCAGTGATGTAAAATCCCCTGAGTTGTAAGTGTTGGCAATGAACTTAATTTTTTGTTTTGTTTTGCTTTGCTTTGTTGAGACAGGGACTCACTGTGTAGTTCAGGTTGGCTGACCGTGAACTCACTACATAGCCCAATTAAACTCATGGCAATTCTCTTGCCTCAGCCTCCCAAGCGCTGGGATCCCAGTGTGAGCTTCTATGCCTGGGGATGAATTTGAATTCATAACCGAGCTGCCACGCTAGAGACCTCCGCTGACTGGCTCCAGGTGGGGCCGCCCATCTGGACCTCTGGCCAAGAAAGGGAGGTTCACAGGAGGACCAGTCCCTGGGCCCTGAGTGGGGGTGGGCTCCCCACACCTTAAGGAACGCTGTAATCTGGGCCGAGTGTGGGCAGGATCCGGGAAGGAGGTTTTGGACGGAGCACCGGAGGAATGGGCAGGAAGTAGTGAGACAGACGCAGGGAGACAGGCAGAACGTGGAAGGGCATTGGGGCAGGAGCAATCGCAGACCTGGAGGTGGCAGGGGCTGCTCTTGGGGGCTGGCAGGAGGTGGGCCTGGCCAGGTGGGCTGAGCTCTGCATGGAGCAAAACAGAGCAAAGTGGCAAAAGCAAGCAGAGCCGGGCCTAGCACGGAATCCTTTGAAGAATTCATTCAATTAATATCTTGCTGGGGAGGCAATCAAGGCAGGCCTCTCTGGCGGTGTGTAGTCTGTGCTGACCCGGGCAGGACTTGGTCCCGGGAGAACAAACACCCTGAGCCATGGCCCCAGAGTACTGCATCACCTTCAGCAGGGAGTTGTTAGAAATGCAGCTTCCCAGGCCCCGCTGTCAACCAGCTGTGTTTTCACGAGCCCTCCTGGAGATTCAGACATCTGCTCATGTTTGAGAGACCACTCAGAGGTGATACCAGGCCCGCTCTTCACTACACCGGCTCATTTTACTGTCTCTCCAGTTCTCTGAGAACATCCCTACCTCAGGACCTTTGCACTCACTATTAGCAGCGTGGTGGAAGGCTTCCCCCTTATGACTTTCAGATCTCGGTTCAACCACATGTCCGTAGAGAAGCCCTTCTAAGGGCCCAATGTAAACATCACCCTCAGTCTGTCAATCTCAACCTCCTTGCCATACTTTGTTCCCAGCCCTCATGACTGCCTAAGACAATAGTCCATATTTATCTGTTTGTGTGGCATCTGCCTCCTTCCCCAGAAGGTAAGCTTTAGAGAACAGGGACTTGGCTTCTCTTGGTCACTCTGCATCTAGCACAGTGCCAGGCACGGCAAGATACTCAGTGGATATTTTTGAATGAATGAATGAGTCTCATAAGGCTTACCCTTTTACTCATTCATTCAATCAACAACCAGTTTGGGAAGATCAGTTCGCATGCAGGTAGTGGGGCTTGTCATGGGAAGGGGTCTGGGACTGTTCAGATGGGAGCAGCCTGATCTTGGGTCTTCTTTCACCCCCTGCTTCACCCCTGCTCCGTGAGTCTGGCTGCTGTGTGAGCGAGGAAGCCCTTAACAGCTTCCCAGAGCAAGCAGCGGAGGAGAGCGGGCTCCAGCACCCTGCGCCTGAAGCCTGGACAGGACTGCAGTGTGTAACGGATCTGCAGCCTGGTGCCCAGGCTGCTGGTGCCCACTGTGGGATCCGAGTCCCCCATGGGGCTCATCGGGTGCAGTAGCTGGATGGGTGTGTGCAAGGAAATTCCTCTGGGAAAGTTGCAAGGGAGGCCCCTGGGGCCTTCTGCAGGGACCCTTGGGCATAGCTTCGGGTGCACTAAGGCAGCCTTGCTCCAGTGCCCTGGGGTTGGGGCATAGGAGAGAGGGTGGGGAGATTTGTAGGGACCAGGGATTTTCTCTGCTTGGAAACTATTGACGTTTTGGGGCATAACTCTGCAGTGGAGGCTTCCTGAGCATTGTAGGTGTCTGGCAGCTCCCTTGGCTCCCGCCCACTTGATACAGGACCGCTTCTCCTTGAGGCCACAAAAGTTGTCTCCAGACACCGCAGGTGGGCAAAGTCTTCCACGGATGGGAACACCTGATTTTCTCGTATGGACCTGAGAGAAAAAGATGCAGGTTTAAAACTGAAGTCTCAGGACCCCTGCGACCCCTCTCCGCTCTGTGTCTCAGTGTCCTCCTATCCGGGCACGCTGGACGCACGGGGACTCGAGGCGACACGGGCTCTGACGCCAGCCCCAGGTCAGAAGGCGTTCGGCGTCGCATCTGCGCCCCGCTTCCTGTAGTGCGGGAAGATCTTTGCTGCATGTTTCTCGGCGTTCACATGGCCTGGTTGCTTGCGTCCCTGCTGATGCTAAGGTTGGCGGTGGCCATGTCAATAAAGGGCAGGGACGCGGGAGTGACTCGCCCCGCGCGCCAGCAATGCCACGTGGAGAGTCCCCCAGTCGGTACCGTGCACGGGCTCGGCCAGCAGGGGGCAGCAGCCGCCGGGGAAAATGCCCGGGGCGCCTAGCGCGGAGAACCTCTGCCCTTTGATTTATTTCGCTGCAGCTTTTATTTAAAGTTGAGCACGTCATCCCTCCAGCGCCACGCGAGGCCTCCTTTAACAGCCCGTGGTGTCTCCTCTGCGGAAACCAAGCAGCTTTCCAGAAGGTCTCGCGATCAGCGAGGCTGTTGTTTGCCCAGCTCCGGGGCGGGGCACAGCGTTTAGATTCACACCCCAGGGCCTGCCACGTCCCTCGTCCCTTTCTGCTCTTTGGGCAGAGACAAAAGAGAAAAAGGGTCCACAGGGGCCATCTGTTCCGACCTCTTACCCCAGGTCTTCCGTTCCCACCCGCAGAAGCCGTCACCCTAAGCCGTTGTTGCTGCAGCCTTTTGGAGGCATTTTACTCCCGTCCCATACAAATATGAATAATACTCTTCCTCCGCTTCCTCCTTCCCTCCACAAACAAGAGCCAGGAATACTCTCCGCACTTTGTTTTCCTGACTGATGGACATGGGTGGGGTCCCGTGTTGACACTCACAGTACTCCTCATTCTCTTTTGATGACTGCATCCTGTTCCATCAGAGAGTGTGATTTTCAAGAGCTCCCCACATGTCCCCTGAATTGTCCCCAATGGCTTCCTGCCTGCCTTCCTCATTGTGCTGTCAGGTCTGGTGACCCAGCAGGGCCTCCTGGCTCCCCAAGTCACTTTCTTTGCCCAGGCAGGGTAGCTCCCTGGGTCCTGCAAACTTGCCTGGCCATTCTGCCCCAGGGCCTTTGCCCCTGCTGTCCCCTCTTAACCTAGTTAAGTTTTGCTCTGCCTTGCTCAGTTCAAACAGCCCTTGCTCTGTATGTCCCCTACATTCCATGATAGCAGCAAGGGCACTGATCTCTACCTGTAGTTACGGCCAGCACGTGATGGTTAAATCACAGGCTCCTCCATCCTCTGCTTCCCTGCTGGTCTTTCTCCAGTGCCCTGGGGGCATCTCTGCTCCCTGCTCCAGGAGCAGCAGTGTCCTAGGTCTTCTTCCCCTCTGGGGCTCCCTGGTGAGCACCATCAGGCTGTGATCAACAAGCAGCTGGCCGTGTGCCACAGCGGGGCTTGGGAAGAAGTCACCCCAGCCTCCCTCACACTCTGAGTTACTGACTCCTCACGTTGGCTAAGGTGCATACCGCCCCCTGGAAAGTGCTGGGCAAAGGTCCAGGCTGTCCCTTCCACCACAGTCAGCCCATTCAGAGGTCATTTGCCCCATCCCCTCCCCTACGTATTCCTGAAGCATGTTCTTAGCACCTAAGTAGGGCATTCTTCAGTTGGCAGCCTTCAAACGGGTTGGGAAATCCCTGCCAGCTGCCCCGGGAGGAAGTCGAGGCCTTTCCTGAACGGCCTGTGGGGAGGGGTTACGGGAGGCTGAGCACGTTCCCAGGCCTCTGTGGCTGTGCCCAGGCATGGTGGCCCTGACAGTGCCATCTGCGCTCAGAAGAGCACTGGTGTGACCGAGGCCTCCCGACCCACGCACCTCGGCCACATAGATCTGGGTTGGGGAACGAAGGAAATAAAATTCATGTTTCCACACCACCTCCGGTATCTCCATCTGGCTGGCTGGGAAAGACTTTTGTAGGAGTCCCCAGGTGTGATCTGTGTTGAGGGAAAACAGTTTGGGGATATGCAGAGCAGATGCCAAATTGTGGGACCTGGTACCCCAAAGTCTCCGGCACTTCAGCTCTCTGACAATGCGCATTCTCTCCGGCTTCTACGGCAAGCGCGTGCATTTTCCAGAGGAGAAAACGGAGGCACAGCAAGGTGAGTTCAATGACATTGTGATGCCACGTAACTAGTAACAAGCATGACCGGCTGGGTGATGCCGCGAGAGGTAACAAACCTTGTAGAGCCTCCCTGTACTTATCTGTAAAGTGGGGCTGTACTAGGACCAACCTCAGTGAGATATGTACATTAAATTATGCAAGAAGAGCCCTGGACACAGAAAATACTGAGCAAATGTCACCTGTTATTCCAATTCTAGGGCACACAGTTGTTGAATGACTGATAAAACAAATGGGCCGATGGACCATGTAAATGTGCTCTTTTCCTCTACTAAGGACAGGCGGCTCTCTTTGCAGAAAATTCAGAAAATGAAAGCAATTCATTTAGATAGAAACGACGTGCTGAATGAAGCCGTGTATTGTGTAGAACAACTGGGTACCGATTTCTCTGTAGCGCTCACAATCTTGAAGGATCTTCTCCAGAGCAGGAAGGGATTGGCTGATGATCTCCCTGGCAGTTTGGACCAGGTGGCGATTTGTGATGATTATGCAAGACATCTTCCAAAAACTGACCCTCTGCTCCAGCAAAAAGCATTGAATTTTGCAGAACCGCCGAAGCGTAGCATTGTCTCATCTGGCGCTGGCTCGCTGGACAAGTTTTGGAATGATTGCCCTCTGCTCGGTTCTTGAGAGTTAACAGATGTGAGCCTTACGGGAGAGGGTGACAAGTGGCCGGAGACCTGGAGGAGCCAGAGCAGTCACAGAGGGAAGCAGACTCCTCGCTGGCGCGCGTCCAGGTCGGCAGCACAGATGCCCTGGTGACTGCAGAAGGCTCCAGGACGATCCGGAGAGGCTGCAGGACTCGGAGCCTCGCTCGCCGCTCTCTCAGCTGCTGTTTCCCGGATGCAAAAAGGCACCCACGATCTCCGTTATGTCCCTACACCTGATGCACATCTGGGCTGAGGCGCACACCTGACCCCATGGGGCAGAACGGCTTAGCTTGGCCTCTGGTGTCAGATAACCGGGGAGGAGCCCCAAGGCAGACCCTGTGTCAGTGCGGGCTCTCCCGGCGCGTCCAGCCCTCAGCAAGGGCCCAAGCCAGGGGCTTCCCTGTGATTCCCACAGCACTGCGGGCCGAAGTGGGCACCGATGCAGGAAGGTAAAGAGGCCAGCAGGGGGCGCCCTTCACACCCTCCCCTGCTCCCCATTGCAGACCTCATCCGGCCCAGCTGGTGTGTTCTGGACCCACCCTGCCCTGTGGTCCTGCACCAGTTAGGGGCTGCTCAGGGCACTCCTCTTGGGCTCTTCCTCCTGGCCCCGTGCCACTGGCACGGAGCACCCGCCACCAACCTCTGCTTCACCATCTGCTGAGAGGGAGAGGGGACCAAGGTCGTGCTCGGAGACTATGGCTGTCGCTATTCTAACTTGCTGCCTGTGTGTCTGGTTCTCGCCTCTACTTCAGCCAGAGAACTCCTACTTATCCTCTGAGTGCCCAATGCTGATGCTCCAGCTCCAAGGACACCTTTCCCTACAAGCATTTGTTTCCTAGGGCTGCTGTAACAAATGGGAAGCGACAGAAATTCATTTTCTAAGTTCCAGAGGCCAGAAACCTGGAATAAATCCAGGCAGCACAGGTGCCTTGCTCCCTCTGAAGGCTGGGGGAAGGTCCTGGAGTTCTTCAGCTTGTGGGGGCCTGGGCCTCAGTCTCTGCCTCCATCTCCCTCATCTTCCTGTGTCTTCTCTTTTTCTGCTCTTATGGGGACACTTGACACTGGATTCAAGGCTCGCCCTAACCCAGGAGGGGCTCACTTCAAGACACTTACTTGAATTATAGCTGCAGGGGGACCCTTATTCTTCTAGGCAAGTTCACAATCCCAGCATATCTTTGGGGGGCGGTGCACTACATTTTATTCAGTTTCTTTGCTTGCTGTGGCACGGTGCAGAATGGCTGCTTTGTGAGCTAAGCACAGCCAATTCCCAAGCAGGGGACCATTTGCCTCCTGTCACGCGTGCGCTCTCCAGTCAGAAGCTTCCAGGGCAGATCGAAGCCATGGCAGCCACCTCTCCTTCTCACGGCACCACTGGGTCCCCATCTCCATGTGTGTGAGGAGCAGCTCCAGTCTGGGCACCGTGGAGGAGGAAGGCCAAGCTGAAGGCTAAGAGGGTTCACTTCTCCAGAAGCTCCTCTGCAGGCACCGTCCAGAGAGAGGTCTATGTCCCATGGACTGGAGCTGTCCCCTGGCTGGAGGAGGGTTTTTAGCTGGGTCCGTGGCTGCTGCCCTGTGCCCCAAAGGGAGGAGTAGAGATGAGCATCAGCCATAAGCAACGCTAACACAGTCCCTCTAAGAACATCGGCATGTGCATTTCAGGTGCGCATTTCCCCTGCTATCCCAGGAGACTCACAAGGATGATTCTGAAGGACACACATGTGTGGATGTCTTGTAACTTTTTTCAACCTTGTCCCTTCCCCACAGTCTCCTTTCTGGCCACTAGAGCCTGGTTCTGAGGAGATACATTGTGCAGGTGACCCCAGGGGCACCACAGGGTGCAGCGGCCAGTGGTAAGGACACCATGGGAGTCGGCCAGACCTCAGAGCCGTCCCTCGATGGTGTTCTGAACACTGGGTCAAGCCAGGAAGGAGAGAATAAAAAGAACCATGTAGAAGCTCCTCTGTCTCTTTAGAATGGGGGGGGGTCCATCCGTGAGACACCTGTGCTTGATGAAAATGTGGTGAATGATAGACCGAGCCAGGAGGGTACAGGAGGTGAGAGGGATTTTTAATGGCCTGTCACATTCTTGTCACTAAGACATAAAACCAGATATCCACAGCTTAAAGGAAGAGAGCTTTATTTTGGCTCATGTTTTCCACCCATGGCACACTGGCTCCAAGGCAGGAAGGACGCGGTGTGGGGTCCGGCAGACTATCATGGGGAACTCACATCATGGGGAACCAGGAAGCAGAAAGCCTGGGAGGGAGTTATGCTCTCCAGCTGACGGCCCCAGTGACCCACCTCTTCTGCCAGATCTCCCCGTCTAACAAGTCCACTATGTCACCCCTGTGATTCAGTCACATTCCAAAAGCTCTGCCTATGAGCACAGGAGGCCTTGGGGAAATATTCTTGATCTAAACCATGTGTCTGTGAGCTCCTCGAGGTTGGGAACAATGTGCTAAGTGGACTCGCCTGCTGTGCATGAGTTCCTTGCACAATTTCTTCCTGTACCATTTGCTCACCTCTCCTGACAGGACACTCACTACCTCATGGGATGAGTTGTCCTCCTGACCAACCCTAGCTCAGGGAAAGATCAAGTTCAAAATTCAAAGTGTGGTTTCTACTGGCTGTGCATAGCTCCCACACCATCATGGAGCCAAGATACCATGAGTCCAGCCATTGTAGGTTCCCCCCTGCATCCATCCACCCACATGCCTATTGGTTCCGCCTGTCTGGAGAGCCTTGATTAATATGAATTGTTTTCCTATCTGTAGTTGTAGGCATTCTCTGTATACTCAGGAGACTAAGCCCTCCCTGCAGATGTGATTTGCACTTACTTTCATGCCTTGGAGAAGACAGAAGAGTGGAGAAGCAGTGAGTTGCACAGAACCCCAAGCAGTGCCCTCCCCCAAGTGGAAGCTGCAGAAAAGCAGCCCGCTAGGTTTGTTGACTGCCCACCCCACTGTGCTAGACACTCAGCAGGTGCACAATAAAATTCTCCTGGGTAAAGATGGGCGACTAAACTTGGGTGTTGGGTGGGAATGAAAACTGCTCCCTCATTTAGCCTGAGGCCTGTGTGGTGAGAGAATGGTGGTCCCTGCACAAAGCGGTGAAGGACCGATGGAGGAGCGGCAGCACTGGTGAGGCCAGAGACGCTGCCTGGGACCCTGTGGATGGTACAGGGGAAGCTGAGGGAGGAAGACACGGGCTCCAGCTCCCGATTTCTTTTGGTTTCCATTCTGATTCTGTCTCCACTGGGCAAAGACTGGGGTCCAGCAGATGTGTTCTGGGGTCTCTGTTTCCTCACCCGCACACTGGGCAGTTGCAAGGGCTCTCCTGGCCTGAACCGCACAGCTGGGGCAGCTGATCTTAGCCCCAGGTGCGACCCTCAAAAATTCCAGGTACCGCAGACCTCCCGCCTCCTCCTGGCATGGCACCCCTGGAGGTACAGGGGTGCGCACAGAAAAGAGCAGGGGTGCAGGCTGCCCACGTCACATCTGGCTGGTCAGTGCCAAGCACAAGCGGGAAGAGAGCACCAGGCTTCTGTGCCATGGGCTAAGCTGCCTCCTGATTTCTAAATAAACCTGGTTATCTGCCTCAACTGCTCGACTCCTCCCGGCCTGTT